GGAAAAGAAATGGAGAAAGATGACTTTTGGGGCATGAGAATATTATATTGTCTCCTTGGATCCTCTTGTCGTTCGTTTCGAGGGGAGGCTTCTTCAACGATGAACGAACTTTTTGTCTCACTATGCATACGATTTTCTCCTTATGAAATGAGAAAAAAAAATAAGTATACTTTTATTGTTGCATTGTTAGTGTGAATAATTTTTTCGTGCCGTAACTTTATAAGTTTGAATGTTTGATACATAGTGCATTTGACTAGTAAATCATGTTTTTTTTTTTTTTGTCGAAAATTTAAATTCATTCATAAACTGAGTGCTAACCAGTAGTATATACGAGACACGGTAGAGTGCCGATTTTGCCAAGGCATCATCCTCAATATTCAAAGTTCTCTTGATATACACAAAAGCTAAAACATTTAGATCTAAGGAAAGAGATGAGATGTCTTGGAAAATGTTGTAGATTTCGATATGTTGGGTCTTAAAGTTAATTAGATTGATAATCTGTTGTGAATCCGAGGCTAATCTGAATCGATTCAAACCCTATTCCTTCGCATGCAGCAAGGCTTCTCGAATCGCCAAGGCCTTGCTGCCATCAAGGCTGAATTGGTTTGGTACATAGGTTTGGAGCCTTGGGTTAAAATCGATCATGTATCCAAGTGAGGTTTATAAGTTTGATACAAGGTAAAGAATCGTGAGGTTTATGGCTCAATTTCGAGAAAGCCTATTCATCTTAGGGATCTAGTAAATTTGTTTGTACGTTCTTTACTTCTTTAATTCAAATTCAAACGAAGGTTGCGAGAAAATTGATCATTCACGTGAGGTTAATTCGAGCTCGATCATGGTTACATCTCAAGAATACGTGTGCATACATTTCACTTCAAAATTATATAACTCTCGTGGGGGACTAGTCGGCTCAATTAGCAACCACGTTTTATATAAGAAACTATAGAATAGATTTCCATGCCGTTGCATTAATATGCTTATAATATTATTCATATTGGATCTTGTAACTCTCACGGTCTCACGGAGACTAGTCACCTCAATTAACCTATAACACATTGACA